TCAAGTAGTTAGCTCACTTAATGGAACATCTATTTTGTTAGGGATTATTAATCACATTGGACAGTATCTGCCAAGTTGGGCAAATGATGCATTTTAGTTTTGTTGATTCTTGTGTTTCAAAGACTAATTTTGTATTTCAGTAGCACTTCAGCGTGTTAACAGGCCCTAATAAAAACAGTAAAAGATTACTAGGTAAAGAAGTAACAAATACAAACAAACATAAGTTTGCTTATCAGGAACAACTAACGTTTGTATAGCATTTTAAACTTCAGACCATGCCTGTGCACACAATGCCTTATTTGCATCTTACCTCGACCCTGTGAGGGCAGGCATCTTTATTGCCATTTATAGATGTGGAAACTCAGAAAGGTCTGAGAATGGAGAAAGCCAAGTATGAGAACCCAAGCTCTACTACTACTAATTTGCTGCCCTGGATAAGTCACTTAAGTCCTCTGGGCCACAGTGTCCTCATCCTTAGCTTTCGGAAAATAACATCTAACTCATGGGATTATTCTTAGGATTAAATGAGTCAAATGTTTATAATGGAATCCTGGGCAGAATAAAGCAATACTCAAAACTTGATATTATTATTTCAAAAATAAACACTTGAATATTTTTTATAGTAAGAAAGTCCTGACATCTGGAACACAGGAATGGGAAATGTCTCAGAAACAAAAAGTACTGGGAAACATGAAGCCCAAATCTTTGGTTTTACTACCCACCTCCCCGCAAAGTGGCGGGGCCCCTAATTAAGTGATACTCAGAAAACCCCACACAGAGTAAAGTCATTTCATTAGAGGCAGTCCAAAGCGGCTGACAGAAGAAAGAAATGTCAATTGACAGCTGAGGGTGAACCGAAAAGAAAGACTCATGGAAAAGCAAAGAGGAAATTCAAAAGAACAAAAGGGCTAAGAATCATTTAATATACAGATAAAAATATGACTGTAACTCAATTGTTCACAAAAGTCTCACCAAGTTACAGATTATAAAATTATTCTTGTAGAGAAACAATGGGTTGAAATTTTGAAAAAATTTAACAGGCATTCTGAAATTTTTAAGTAAGGAAGTATTTAAACAAAATATTACATAAAATTTCCGGGATAAATATATAAAATAAGAGTGTTTAAAGAAACAGCAAAGTTTCATCTACCTAGAAATCACTTTTGTGTAACACTTGTTTCTCCAGAATGTGGAGATAAATGAGCTACTGCTCTAGCTTAGTAGTATGAAAGATGCCACAACATTCTTGTAAAAATACAAATTCTGTTAAGCATGATGTGATAATTAACAAAAACCGTTCAGAGTAATACATGAGAAAATGACGGTAAATCTTCTTTGGAGAAGAATACATTTCCGATGAAATCAAAGCAAGGGAATGAATATGTTAATTTTATCTTGAAGAAACATGGAGGAAGAACTGATCACTAAAGACCCCATGGAGATTTGTGGCGATAATCTCTCCTAGACTACTGACGACAACAGATACCAACATTTACGAAAGGCTATTACGGTTTCCCTTCAAGCTGTATTTTATTGCATTTAATTCCACAGCTTTTTATTGACATACAGCTGAACTTCCAACTTTTCAGGCCAGTCTCCCAAGATTTTTTGCCTTTATATCATCGTTTCCTGTTACTCTGATACAAATACCCCAGGCTTGGGGTAAAACTTTCTTGTTCTTGAAATTGTTCTCACTTTTCCATATCTGCTCTTATCCTTGCCTTTCTTCTAAATCCTATACCAAAGCCCACACCAAATTCTATCAACTTCATAAAGCCTTTTCTGAAATACCCCCAACCTGACCCCAACCTCTGCACAGGCAGACTCCTCCCGTAAGACCCACGACATGTTATTGTTACCATTTTTGACTGACTTACTCAAATCTCTAGTCTCTCAGCTGTCTAAAGTGAGCAGTATATACTACAAGGATGCTAGAGTCAAACAGGCAAGAGTATCCCAGGCTCCACCAATGTAGAGGTGGTCAAGATACGAACTCCAAAGAGCCTTAGATCCCTGCTCTGAAGAATGGGATAACTGACTTTACATGTTTGTGCTTAGGTAAAACATCCAGTCTGGAATGAACCAATTAATAAATGCATGCATTCTGCCTTATGCCTCAGATCCTACAAAAACCAAAGGAGGGGGTATTATAAAGGTCACTCAAAATTGCCTTAACTTTCCAGGTCCTCCCCTCTTCTTTGCACTGACTCTGCTCTACCTGAAGGACAACATATGTGATCCTCTACATTGACTGTCCATTAATTAACTATGACTATTAGTTTAAGTGACATGTGGAAGTTTCCAGCAATATCTTAGTCAAAAATGCAGGCTTATATTCATATATTTGTAAGGGAAAATGATAAAAGGAAAAATAATATTGTTTCTGGGTCTCCTAACAGGCAGTTGAAGAAGCTAGAGCCTGTGAATGTCCACAACACTGCACCATCGTGCACACTGCCGAATTTAAGAAAAGAACCCAGGTTATATCCTTAGGACAGTATTTTTTAAATTACTTATAACTAATTATTGCTCTAATGAGATTCATCAGAGAATATGAAACCCTCATTCAACCATTTTTTCAACAATGCCAATCAGTACTGGGAAATAATTCAAGAAACCGAAAACAAATCCCAAAACAGGTATGTCCTCTTACCAGATGCACAAATAGAAAATAATCAAAAAGCAAGGGAAGAGTCAGAGAAAGTTTTAACAGGTTAAAAAAAAACGACCTCTTCAAAGTTGTATTAATTATTACTTTAAGAATATATTTTAAAAACAAGAAGAGAATGGAAAAAATTAAGTACTTCTCATTCAATTGGTAATGACAGAATAGATATTGGTGAACATCACATAACTATTTGCACTCACATGCAAACTAAGCTGCAAGACTATGTCTTGTTCCTAATAGAGAACACATTTTAAATTGGGGGTTTAAAATTAAAAGGTTACACATATAAAAATTGTTTTAAAAATGACTGCCTGGAGAGAGGGGACCTTGAGGAACTGAGACCATATTTATCACAAACAATCGTTAAGACCCGGTACATTGAAGCCACCCAATAAGTTTTTGTTGATTAAACTGACATTTCAATTAAGGCTGCAATATTAACACAAAAAGCACCAGCACAATTACCTGCACTTTAACGTAATTTCAAAACCATTTGGTCAATAAGTTGAAACAAGTATCACTTATGCCTAGAAACCAATTGTATAAAGGATTTTCAAAGCAACTGAACCTTCCACACTTGGTACTAGAAGTGAGACAATATTTCATAAGAGCAACAAGGCAAGTTGTGAGATGGAAGATCCAGTTATGGTCTCTACTTGAAGTAGTTTGCAGTGGGGGGGCACCTTATCAGATTTAGATTTCATTACTCACCACAATGGCAAATACTGTGAAGCTAATTAAGTAATTAGTAAAGGAATTCCTGTATGAAAATAATGCTTCCTCCTCTTAAAAATGGCCGCCTATTTGGTTTGTAAAGTAGCAGTATTTAAGAAAAAGCAAACAGTATAGTGAGACAGGTTGCATGTTATCCAGAAACAGTAATCCAAAAACAAACTCAAGAGTTTAATTATAGGAAGTTTGTGCAGTTCCCTATGAGGGTTCAGATAATTGTTTGTTTTATCATATAAGCATGACTATGAAAGGATCTAAAGCTATCTAATAGGAAAATTTTACTGTTAATTACTGTTATGCTCGTGAAAATGTCCTGCAACATTTAAAATCATGTAGGTTACTGGAATTGATTTTAAATTTTCTAGATGCTCTACATAGTCAAAATCCTGTCTTTAACAATACAGTTAATTCCTGAAGCCTTATGTAATCGTTAATTACATAGCAACTATGCTAATCATTTACTCTGGATTCAAATTTCCCTGAACATTGCATAAGAAATTTTTATGTTCCATCTTAACTTGTTAAAAAACTCAATAAAACCACAGCAGTTGAAAGAACTGTTTTTCTACATACTGAGATATCTAATAAAATGTCTCACTTGAAACTCTGTATTTGTCCCCTGCTGGTTCATCTTTCCATAGAACTTAACCAAATGTTTGCGTGGCTAGGAATCAAGATTATTTGCAAGTTGCAACGCTCAAGAAACAGTTAGAATTACTCCTTTCAAGTTTAACCACAATGATATTGCTTTGCTTTCCCCTTACTTGCTAAATCCACTAGACAATACATTTTAAATGCATAATGAACTCACATTCATTTAAGATTATTTTAAGAACAGACTAGAATACAATTTTTCAAGAAATTTACTCACATTTTGGAATTAATGCCCCACCTCTCTGAATAGCCTTCCTGCATAGAAATACTTCTCCCCAACTATTGCCTACACAGTGTTTACATGCATGCACACATCACAGTACATCCTGTTCCACTGCCATTCATTCATTTACTGGTTTTAAATATTCATGCTGCACAACCTACAGAAACAAGTCAAGGCAAATCTCTTGATAATTGCGTTTATTGCAAAATCAAAAAGTATTAGCGCTGGAAGGGATACAAATTTTGCTCTTTCTCATTCTAAAAACATATTTTAAAAAAAGAAAAGAAAAGAAAAGCTGAGACCCAGAGATTGACTTAGATATGGTTACAAAGCTATTCAGCATCAGAACTAGATTAATATTGTCATCTTTACTATGGGCATTCTCTGACAGCAGAAGCGGGTTCCTAGAAACACTAAAAACAAAAACCATTCATAATAAATAAAATCACCTTCATAAAAATCAATCCCCCACATCAATCAGTGGAATATATACAATGCGAAAAAACTTCTTGGTAATAGGTTACTTTTGGCACCTCACCAGTATTTGCAAGGTAGACTTGGAACTCAGGAATAGGAACAAAGCTTGTATGTCTTTACATAACACTTGATTCAAGGATTCACCTTCGTGCTGCTAGACCTTTAGCACGGACTCCAAATTTACTGACTGGGGGTTACAGGATTGGTTGCTCACGGTCACCATAAAACCTCGTCACTGTAACCTACCTCCTTGGCCATGTCTGTGTATTTCTGCTTTTCCTTTGGATCGAGAACAGCCCACCAATCAGCTAGTATCTTGGTAGCACCTCGGTTATCAAGCCTGGGGTGTTCCTGACGTACAAGGGAGCGATGACGTTTGCAAAATAAGAGAAATGCATTCATTGGTCTCCGGGCTCGCTGTTCTGGTGATTCATCATCTTCAGTTTCACCGACATCTTGCTCTAGACCATCGGCCCCAAGAAGTTGAACCTATTAGCAATAAAACAAAAGCCAAATGTTTAACACATCCTGGATAACTTTGCTTTAGCAATTAGTCTTGGTTTTCAAATTGTATTTTTCCTTAGCTCCACTTAAACAACTTACAAATTGGGGGGAAAAAAACGATTTTTTAAAAGTCATCAACCACTGTTTGTGGTTGGTAACCAACTTCAGATGTTTTCTTTTGCTTAGTTTCTACAGCAACCTGTGCATGTCTGTACTACAGCATATATCACATTGTTGTTATAATTGCTTACATTTTTTTCTCACTAACAGTGAGCTCTTTGAGGACAAAAGCTCTCTTATTTTCCTCATACACAGTGTATAGCTTAATGTCTGGTCTAACATTAGTATTTAACTAACTATTGAATGAAGGATTCAACCCATTCTGTGATATATGGGTCTCAAGATTAACAACAATATCCACATAAGACACATGAGCATTAGTTCTGTCTTTCTACTCTTTGGAATGTGCTGTTGTACAACAAATAATATGAAAATGTTTAACATGAAAGTAGATAAAAATCTAATACAGACTACTTAATGTTTTTGTGCATATCACAAGTGGAGCCTCCTAGTGTAAAAATCAAAACAGACCTCTAACATTATTTGAAGGAAGAGCTACATAGTAAATTTTCAAGCTTGTAGATATCACACTTTCTTGTCCACTGAAATTCAATGGTGATAGGGCTTAAACTTTCAAAATCTGTTTTGAATCCTCCCTTTTCTTAAACATTTCATTGAAGGTCTTCAAGGACTTCTGCAAAGCTCTGATCCTCTCCATCTGTGTCATTCTCATTGCCACTGCCCTAGTACCACTCTTGCCTATGGCCTTGTCTTCCTGCTTTCAATCTCTTACAATACTTCCTGCGCATGGCTGCAGGTTACATTTCTTAAAGCACATTTCTGATCACAGAATCTCAGAATATAACAGGATTGTTAAGTATCTTCTAAGGCTAAAATATGACAGTGTGACCAAGAACAGAAGTCCAGTATGCTTACTAAAACCATTTCTTTACTTGCTGCTTCACAGTTAAAATCAAGAAGGATAGAGGTAGTTGTTAGACTGCATTACACGGTAGGGCAGTAGTTCTTAAACATGAGTGGGCACTGGAATCCCTGGAGGTCTTGTTAAAACACAGATTGTTAAGTCCCACTCCCAGAGCTTCTGATTCTGTAGGTCTGGAGTAGGCCTTGAGAATGTGTATTTCTAACAAGTTGCCAGGTTATGCTGATGCTGCTAGCCTGGGGATCACACTTCGAGAACTACTACTAGAAGGCAACCACATTCTCTTATATCGTGTTTATTGGGCAACTGTTACAGACGTTCTAGGACAAATCACTAGCTTCATCCAATTAGATGGTTTTTAAAAGTCTTTTAAGTTTAAATTAAGTATTGCACATGCATTTAATTAACCATCAATTATCTTCAAACACAAATAGTACAGAACAATCATGAAGTCATAGCTACTTGATTTGGAAATACATTAGGGATTATTACTGGGGGTGAAGGATACAGATTTATCTTCCTCATTATGTGTACAATCACTAAAAATGATTTGAGTTTTCAAGGAATATTTATTTAGCATTCTGAAACTAAGAAGCTACAGAAAAAGATCAGGCATAAAAAAATGTATTACGTAGGTTGAGGAAGTAATTATAGTTTCCCTTCAGAAAAGAATAACTTTTGATTCAGTTACTAAATTATAAAACTCAAGCCAAGAGCTGAGATAAATAAGACAAATCCTGGCCCAAGGAGCTCACTGTTTGGGGAGAGGAGAAAGATATATAAGCAAATAAATTAAAAAGCAGGATGATGACTGCAACAATGAACCAGTGCAGTAATGAAGCACTAGCAGATGGGTAGGAGAACAGGCAAGTCTCCCTAGAAAAGGTGTGGTCTGGGCTAACTTTTGAAAGATGAATCAGAGCGTGTAGGGTAGTCAATGGGGAGTCATGGGGAACTAATAGAGATTAAAGCTCAATAGTTCAGACACTTATATGCAGCTCAATAGTACCAGTATATAAAAGATTAGAACAGGAATCTAAGGTTACAGAAGAAGGTATGGGCCACTTCATGAAGAATGTGCTCTGTTGTGTTAAAAAAAAAAAAAAGATTAAAAAAATGTGCATTTAACCCTGTAAATGAGTGGCTTCAGACTGCATGGATCAATAAAAACCCTTGGGAGGGGACCAACACAGATTACCAACTTTTTGTTTTGCCAAGTATGAACATTAAAAAAAAATGTTAACTACTATCTAATATTATAACTGTTTCATTACATTAACTAATCAAAAAGTAAGTAAACAAATCAATAAATGTATGATATATAAATTAAATTAAAACGAAAAGGTATCTGGACCTATTTTTCTTTCACCAGAGGCCAAGTAACACTGCAACAAATCAACACTAGCACTGGACCAGGATATGGAAACCACAGCTGGATGCAATGAAGAGCCATGAGTGGTTTTAAGCAGGGGAAAGACATTGTTAGATCTGTATTTTGAGAGAACTCCTGTCATCAGTGTTGAGCATGAATTACAGTAGCAAAACTAGAGTCAAACAAAACTAGAGGAACAAGTTAAAAGTTTATTTCAGCTGTCCATGCGAGAATGGAGACAGGGCTGAATCAAGGCAGTAATCATGAGAATGGAGAACTGAAAACAGAAACAATATTCACTAATGAGGTAGGACCAAGAGTGATTGGTGTCTAACTGGATGTAAAGGTTGAAAAAGGAAGAAGAGTGTTTCCAACTTTGGCAGCAAGATTCCTTCATACACAACAGAGAACACTTTTTCTCAAATGAGAGAAGTTAGATCTGGTGGCAGAATGTAAAGTGGCTCTTAGCAGAGAAGTCCCAGTTGGGATAATGAACTGATGTACCAATATAAAGAAGTAAGACCAAGGGTGCGGGTGAGATCTCTGAATGTGGACCAAAAAGAGAACAGGACTCGATGACTTCATTCTTTCACTTAATAACTATTTACTGGGCACCTGATAGGTGATGCAGACAGAACAGCGAGTGTATAGACTCCCCATCCTCATGAAGATGAAGAGCAGCACAACTGGCCTGCCATTCTGGAAGGATCTCTCTGGCTGCTCTGTTGAGAACAGACTGTAGAACGGCAAGAGCAGAGGCAGAGAGAGAGGCAGAATACAATAATCTGCACTAGCATTGGTGGTGGCTTGGTACAAGGTAGCAGTAGTAACATTGCTAACAAGGGGTCAACTTGAGAACTATTTTGAAGGTATTTACTGAAGGTATTTGAAGGTATTTATTTATTTGAAGGTATTTATTTGAAAGTATTTATTATTTGAAGGTATTTATTTGAAGGTATTTATTATTTGAAGGTATTTACTATTTTGAAGAATTTACTGATGGATGGACAGATGTGAGACTTGAGCAAAAGAAAATAGACAAGGTTTCAGGTCTGACCAACTTGACAGCTGGAGTTGCCATTCACTGAGAAAGATGTAGGAGGATGGGGTTTGCAGGAGAAAAGTGACAGCTTCATTTTGAACACATTCAAACTGAGATTCTGATTTGATACCTAAGTGGATATGTCAAGTAAACAGGCAGAAATACAAGTCCAGAGTTTAGAAGAAAGGTCCAGGGTGGAGACAGGAATTAAGATAAGAAGCCCAGAGAACATCAACATTTGAAGGTAGAATAATGGAGGGACATCAACTGGAAGGAACCAGAATGGTATAGTTGGGAAGTTAGGAATAGAAATGAGTGATTGCTGTCATGGAAACAGCAGACAGCTTCAAGGACCAAGTGATCAACAGGTGCAAATGTGTCAGAGAGATCAAACTAAGCATAAGCATAAACTTGGCAATTTCCTCATACAGGAAGAATAACACCATTTCTCTGAAAACGGAAAGGAAAAGATGGATAAGGAGTGAGATAAGAGTAAGATGAGTAAGTAGAGAAAGCTGAAGGAGTCATTTCTGGTGGCCTCTGTGAAAGAGAAGAAAAGTTCAACCGTGAGGAGACCATAAACAGTACCCAGAGAAGATGTCTGTGAAACAGGAAAATTGTTTATAATTCCTGCTGAGATGAGTGGAAGAGGGAGCTGACCCAAGTCTAGGACAAAAGACTGAACGGATATCGAAGGCCTGAAGAATAGTAAAAGCATGTTTATGAAATTTGTAGTGACACAAAATAAGTACTCATCTATTTTTTACTGATTGATTGATTGATTGATGGCTGCGTTGGGTCTTCATTGCTGCGCGCGGGCTTTCTCTAGTTGCGGCGAGTGGGGGCTACTCTTCGTTGCGGTGCGCGGGCTTCTCACTGCAGTGGCTTCTCTTGTTGAGGAGCACGGGCTTCAGGCACGCGGATTCCAGTAGTTGTGGCATGGGGGCTCTAGAGCACAGGTTCAGTAGCTGTGGTGCACGGGCTTAGCTGCTCCACAGCATGTGGGATCTTCCCAGACCAGGGCTCAAACCCGTGTCCCCTGCACTGGCAGGCGGATTCTTAACCACTGCACCACCAGGGAAGTCCAGTACTCATCTATTCTTCTACTGAGCATATAACTATTCAAAATCTACTCTGTGCCAGCCACCATTCTAGGCTTTGAGGAAGGAGAAGAGGACAGGAAGGGCAAGACCCTTGCTCTTACCAAGCTTATAGCCTAGTCTAGGAAGGCAGACATAAACAAGTGCACAGCTAAACACAAGGCATATAAGAAGAAGTGTGAGGGAGGAAATCCTCAGACGTGGAATGCACACTGGGTGGGAGGGACACCTGAGATGATGGGGAGGTAGTCCTTGTGCTGAGACCTGAATGATGAAGAGGAGGAACCAGTCACGCCAAGATCTGAAGGGACGTGTGGCTTTCTAAAGTCAGCTGCATGGCTGTGTGGCTTTCTTGCAAGAGCCGGCTGCTCAAGTGTGAGACCAGAGGAGGGGACTAGGAGGAATGACTGAGCACAGAGGCACGGAGGGGTGACAGCAGCCAGATGCCCTGGAGGCCTCAGAAATGAGAACCTGAACAGCTCTGAATCTGCCTATGGTGGCAAGGCTAGGCTGGGAGGGAAGAAAGAGAGGCCAGGAGCAACAGGTGGGTGCAGGTAAGCACATCAAATTTTATGAACTCACTGCGTTTGAATATTGTCTGCAAATTATTAGTTAATTGACAGAAATACTATTTAAGAAGGATCTGGGGCTTCCCTGGTGGCGCAGTGGTTGAGAGTCTGCCTGACGATGCAGGGGACACGGGTTCGTGCCCCGGTCCGGGAAGATCCCACATGCCGCGGAGCGGCTGGGCCCGTGAGCCATGGCCGCTGAGCCTGCGCGTCCGGAGCCTGTGCTCCGCAACGGGAGAGGCCACAACAGTGAAAGGCCCGCGTACCGCAAAAAAAAAAAAAAAGAAGGATCTGTTTCAGTTTAAACTACTACTACAGATACTTTAAGAGTCATCAACATTTGGAATAAAAATGTAGATTAAGTAGTTAACTAGGATACAAGTTATACAGACTCCTAGTAACGCCTCCTTTGCACCACACAGGTTCACTGCAGTTTCCAGAATGAATGGTCAAATAAACTTAAAACTTCTACAATAAAAGGAGGAAATTACCTTATCAATATCCTCCTCTTCGTCTTCCTCTTCTTCCTCTTCTGAAAAGTCAAGAAGTTTCTTTGCTAGCAATGGATGCCACTGAAGACACTTTCGTTTTGGTCGTTTTCCAGCCCCTTCTCCTTCTGCGGAATGATCTTTATTTCTATTACTGCCTTTCATTACTGTGACCTGTAGTAATGAAAAAAAGGAGAAACAGAGAAATGAAAGTAAATTTGATTAAAATTAGTTTATTTAGCTTCCTTAACTTTAACTGGATTATAGTTTTAATGATTAAAGTATCTACCAGCTTAGACATTTACTGGATTCAGTAAGAACTAAGTACACAATCAAACATTCATTTTAGTGGGTTAAATTGCTAATAAAATTTGCCTTTTATGAAATCTGCTTCCTTCCACTTCATAACTTCAGAACTCAAAACACAAATAAAGTGTCAGGATGATTACAAGTTACTGTCACCTGTTCGTATTTACTCAAAATAGTGTTTCTCAAAGTTTTCCACCAGAGGAATGTGAAAGATGCCTCCCAGGGGAGCAAAGGTGCTCACAGAGGTGGGCGTCCCTACATTCTCCAATGGCTCCTATTTTATCATAATTTACATGAATTTCACATTCTATACTATGATAAATATGAGTCTGAAGTATTATTAAGTAAAATGAATGCTTTATAAGAATCAAGTGTTTTAGATTTAAAATAAAACTATTTCATAAGACGACACACATTTTTCAAAAACTAACTGTGCAGCCTCCAAGGATCCCGTCTATGCATGAATCACTTAGTGGGATGAGCACCTTTCTGCACCGGCCTGTGATACAACAAATCACAAAGATCTTTGCATCTCCCTATTACATATGCCCTAGAGATACAACAAATCACAAAGATCTTTGCATCTCCCTATTACATATGCCCTAGAGAGCAACAAAGTTTTGCTCTCTAGGCCTTTTTCCCCTAAAAGACGATTGGCTGAAATAGCTAGGCTATAGTCAGGCTATGAATCTGACAATATCTTTCAGAAGCCGAAAATTCTAAATTATTTTTCAGTGAATATTTTAAAAAGTTTTTCTCAATGAAAGAAACTACGTATTTATATTATAAAGGTGAAAATAACAAAAAATGAGGTTTACCTTCTCCATCATGCCCAGTCCCACAGCCCAAAGGTAAATTATACACAGTTTCTTACATGCTTTCTCATAATTATTTAATATTTTTCATTCATTCATTTGAAGTAACATTAATATACAAATTACTCTTTATACATAGTCATGTGAAAATTGAAACAATACAGTTAAATGCCATCAACTTAAATGGTTCATGCTGACAATTACAAACGTAAATGCCATTGCCAAAATCACAGGGTGGTGGTCGTTTTGGTCAGTTTAAATCTGTATTGGTCCAAACACTTGCAAAGTACTTTTTTTTTCAATAAACTTTTTTTTTTTTTGGTGGTACGCGGGTCTCTCACTGCTGTGGCCTCTCCCGTCGCGGAGCACAGGCTCCGGACGCCCAGGCTCAGCGGCCATGGCTCACGGGCCCAGCCGCTCCGCGGCATGTGGGATCTTCCCAGACCAGGGCACGACCCCGTGTCCCCTGCATCGGCAGGCGGACTCTCAACCACTGAGCCACCAGGGAAGCCCTATCAATAAACTTTTAATGCCATGTTGCTGACACTAGGATCCATGAACATATAGTTTCAATATTCATCTAGTTCTCAAGCCTTCAAAACAATACGACATAAGCAATTTTTTAATCTTCCTTCCTTGTTTCTGAGTTTGGGGTCATATTTAAGTCTTCTTCACTTCAAAATCGAAAAATATTCACTAATGTTTCCTTTGAGAACTTACGTGACTTCATTATTTTAAAGAAACCATGTAAATAACTGATCAATCTGGAATTCATTCTGACAAAGGAGTGAGGGAGGGATCTAGGTTTTTTTTTTCCCCCAAATAGCTAACCAACTCTTCCAAACCATTTATTAAATCATCCAGCTTTCCCCCATTCCTTTGAAATGCTACTTTTATCCTATACTGCATTATCACATGTGTATAAGTCTACTTCTGGATTCTCTTCTGTTAATAATCATCCCCTCTGTTTTCCTATCCTTTGACCAACTTTAATATCCTTAGGACAATATCATTCTGTACCTTTTTCTATACACAAATATATCAGTAAACACAGCCATTTAAAAGTTTTAAGTTGAAAATATCATGCTCTTCTAAGTCAATACACCTTGATCATCCTCATTTTGTAATAACTATATAATATTCCAAAATAGGAACATATCACAATTTTCTCAATTATTCCATGATTGATAGATGTTCAGATTATTTCTTGTACTACAATAAAATCTTCATTTTAATAATCTTCATTTTGATAAAATCCTCATTATTAAAAGCTGTGTCTAGCCAAAAAAAAAAAAAAAAAAAAAAAAAAGGGTGGGGAGGTGAGAAAAACATGTTCCCGTGGTTTTCTTAGCAAGAAACTTCTGCTGAGAATCTGAAGCAATTACATTCATGTGGCTGCCTCAAGAGTAGAAGTTATTGAAAACTCTAAATGGAATTAGTTATCTGGTATACTCTTAATAAATAATAAAGGAACAACGATTTCTTTGAATTGATAGACCATTTCACGATTCCCAGTCTATCTACAAATAAAACTTGGCATGGAAAACCCAATTTCTAAAAATACCAACGCTATATAGAGAGAAGAGGAAACAGCTATTTTTGTGGCTTATTAATCACTTCAGGATGAGATGCTTGAGTGGTAATTAAACCCATACTGGGTTTTAATACCGGATATTTTATAACACATTTTTTAAACAATAAAAGAAATTAATGGGAAACTATACGTCAGGCAAGCTGTTATCAGCGGGAGAGGTCAAAGTGACTGCCGGCGCCTAGAGAAAAGTACATCATTTAGCCTCAAGGATTCTGATTATGCTATTTGATTATGTGTGAATTGTGTTTAAGTGTATGTGCCTTTGCACATATTTATGTGTAATTTCAATATTCAAACAGAAAATAGAATATCAAGAATCAAATGAATGGATGGTATATGTGGCTTTGGGGTTCAAAATAACCACATTCACCTCCTCCCACCTCCATGTTCTGATTCTTTCCACATAGCTGCTACGGCACTACGATAATGTATATCTTCTCTGATACTCCCAATTAATCTCTCCATCCCCATAAATACAATAGAAAGATCTTATATTGCTAACAACACTTACCACATTTCCCCTTGAATTACAATTATTTGGGGACATCCTACCTCCATCACTAGGCCTTTTTCTTGATGATCCAAGACTAGTTATCTTTATATAGAAGCATCTGGCTTATCAGAACATCAAGATCAGTCAGTTGTGAGAATTGTTATAAACAACCATATGAAACTCCATGCTAAATTATGGTGATAATTCACTATTTTTATACAGTAGAATGGCTTCAAAATTAACCCCCATCTCTCTCATTCCTGTGACTTCAGCTATTTCTTCCTGAGTGGGAAAAAAGGAGGTCTGAAAACTATGTATAACACTGAATGCGGGCCAGGGCGGCATGTTCTGTGTGAGAACCACCGAACCCCTGGGCTGTACAAAAAGTAAGATTGATAACCTCTAGCACAGTCTGGAACAAAGTAGGGGGGAAGTAAGTATTTTTGGCATGAATGAAAGCTGAACTGAAGATAGTAAACCTGGGACAAAATAGTCAAGAAAAGTGTAACTGACCTAATGACCATGAAATACCCCAAACTATAAACTAGAGATTTTAATAACTAATAGTTATCTGATTACTTTTTAATTCACCATGGATCTGTTTTCAAACTGTTGAAAGAAGGCAGAAGAATGTGTGTGTGGGGGGAGGGGGGAGGGGATGATGCTCCTGATTATCATTCAGAAGTAATGACAAAGCAAGAGAGGAGAACGCAAGAAAAGATGAAGAAAAACATCTTCTGAGAAAGAAAAGGGAAAAAGAAGGCAGAATTTTGAGACTCAAGCATATTGCTTTTCCTATTTCAACAATGAGGAGGAAAAATTGTTAATTTCTGTTAATTTTTGACAGTAACAGAGGGCTACCTTTGTAATTATTTTGCCACTAAAACCCCCCCACACATTATAAAGTTTGGCTTCTTGTTCTGGAACATGAGCAAATTAAGCTAGCAATCTATACGTAATGAATGAAGCAATTGGGGGACTTTATTCAAAAGGGGTCCTTCTTCCTTTCTGCATGGCAACTGTAGAATAACAAATCAGGTTATTCAACTACCAGTGGACCCTGTACTTGAAAGACTCAATATCATAAAATTATGTTGCTGAGATTATCAAACGATGGAGGCTGAAGGTCCCTATCCAAAATACCGTTGACCCTTGAACAACATGGGTTTGAACTGTGAGCATCCACTTATACATCAAATTTTTTTCAATAAAAACAGACTATATTACTACATGATCCACGGTTGGTTGAATCTACAGGTGGGGGAGCCATGGGTACAGGCAGGTGACTGTAAAGCTATATAACCCCTGCATTCAAGGGTCAGCTGTATTGAATATTTACTTATCTTATAAAAACAAACCAACCCATGTGTTCCCTTTTCTTTGCCAGATGAGTTACCCTAATTAGTACTCATAATACTGATGTAAATGTAAATCAACTTGGTGATAAATTAGGAAAAACTTCATTTACCTTTATTCTTCAAGTGCAGCAAGTCCATTCATGAAGACCTTTACTGAGGTCAAACTTCATGAGAAATTTAAAGAAGAAATATCATAGAAGAAACAGGACAAAGTAAATACCACGTTTAACAAAAGAAAAAAATGGACACTGGAGCCTAACAGGCCTCCTTTAGAATCCGGCCTCCTGCCACTAACTGCTTGTTGTAAAGTTATTCATCTTGCTGATCTTTCCACACATTAAAACTAAGTAATAGCTCTACTGTGAGAACACTTTTTATATAACACCCAGCACAGAGCCTGGCATCTAGAAGGTTCTCACTCCATGTTAGTAAATCCTCCCTTTACCCACAAGCTTCTTAGAGGGAGTATGGGTTTAACAGGCAGCACGTTCTCGCTTAACTCAGCCTAAGATGCAGTTCAAGAGAGAGCACAGAGGACTCCCATTTAACAGTGGTCCACATGCTTCCCAGATGATATAACCTCCAGCCTCAGCAACTGAAAAAGA